ACTTGGGACGGGGGCCTTGGGTCCGGTGATGCAGTCGTCGTGGAGGCTGCGGTGCGGAGCGCGACCTCCCTGCACCGCAGCATAATCGTGTTATGGCCTAGCCGGGACGGCGCCGGCCTATGGTTATCGCAACTGGCCGGCCGGGCCTGAGGGAGTTGCGGTTGTGTTCTACGAGAGTTCCCGTGGCTTCCCCTCCTGGCCCAGGAAGGTCACCGTGGAGGTTTTAGTAGGTAAGAGTCTCACAGTACCTCCGGCCGCTCCTCCGGGCGGTCGATGGTTTCTGCTTGCAGATTTCCTCCACGTTAAAAAAAAAAAGGAGATTAAGGAAAGAGAATGTGAGCACCAACCATTGAATTAAAAAATGAATGAATTCTACAACGATTTAATGCAAGCAATGGTTGCCATTAATATACTGTGGAGTACTTTAAATAACTAACACGGAGAAATTTTCTAGCAAAATATATGGATCATTTGATTCCATTACGAAAGAACTTTACGCAAAAATTACTTAGACGATTGCTACAACTCAAGCATTAAGAATGTTAGGCTAGATGTAGCCAAACATTATATATGGATTTCTACAGGAAAGACAACTAATACAGCAGGGCAATACATCGGAAATTTAATAGGAGAACTTTGTGAAAATGAAATAACAAGACGGCACATATTGTGTTCCAAAACAAGAGAAGAAATCAATCATGCAACTATATCTCACTTTGTAAATTCAGTCCTAAAAATTTTGTTACCAAATGGCGGTAAAAAGAAAGGTTCTTCTGTTTACAACATTTGTAGCAGCGTGTATGGTCAAAGTAGGGATGAAATTGAAATTATTTTATGCAAATATAATATGTTATATGCATAGTGTACGGTCTGCATAGGATAACTGAAAAAGTACGACTTTGTTCTCCACTTGTTAATATACTAATATAAGATATTACAAAATATTCTGTTGTTACCAGAACCTATTTAACTAGATGAGGTACGTGGATTCAAACTGCATTATTTTATGCCAAATATTTTGATAAAATTAATGATGTAAGTAAAATGTACTTATGTAGTATCAAAACCTATTCTGAATAAACGTATTTATTTTATTTATTATGTTAATATGTCGTTAAAAATTTTAATGAAAAAGATGTTGCTACAATTAAAATTGTAAAAACTGTGCTATAACAAGAAAAATTCGCATAAGATTTAACCCCTTAACGTGTTTAAGTAACATACCTGCTGATTGCGGAGGGAACATCAACAAGAAAACAATGGGTACTATGTATAAAAATACAGGATTATCTACATTAACCATTTGAGTGCTAAACAAATTTTGTGGATATATAACAAAAATGTGGAAGTGATTGGATATGTATGAAAAAGAATTAATAAGAGTAGTTATCTAATTAAATTATAAATATTGTGTTATTATAGAAAGACATAAAAAAAATAACATTTATTCAAATAAATTTAGTTTACTTTATTTTTTGAAAAACATAGTAAGAAAATTACAATTGATACTGACAAATAGAAGCGCTGTTACACTCCCCATAATTTTGACACAACACAAGAAAAGCGTCATAACACTTTTCAGCACTCAAATAGTTAATAAAAATTTCAAAACCTTAGTCTACTGAATTGATTAAATGGCCAACAGAAGGACAAGAATATTGCTAGAATAAATTTAAGTATATACACATTACATCCTGTGATGTGGAGCGGTTATTCTCTGCATACAAATTAATATTTACAGCCAAACATAAATAATATGATTGAACATGGAAAAGATGCTTGTAACATATTGGAATGTGAATTACAATATATCAGTGATATAATATCACAATAACTGCAAAGTATATCGTTAATATCTAACACCCCAATTATTATGTGTGTATTTTACTTACAGTGAAGGACAAAAGTATTCGGATCCTTGGAGTATAGAAATAAAAGCAACAATATCTTTTATGTTATCAACTGTATTTAAGCATATGTAACTGTATATTGTATATAACACTTGTAACAACAAATGAGAAAAAAAAACTTAATTACATCATTTCGTAATTTACTATGGCAAAAATTTCACAAAATGGCAAAAAACTGTAGAGACAAAAGTATTCGTACATTTCATTATTACAAGTGTTGTAATTAATTGAACAGGAATGTTCTAAATTAATACCTAGTAGGATAGCTGTTCTGATGAATTGCTTTGTGTAATCTATTGGGCATTGATAACACTAAACTTTTAATGAAGTTAAATTCTAAATTACACCATTCTCTTTTTAATATTTCTTTTAAATATTCTTTCGATGTTATGTCGTATTTTCGTACATTTTTTTCAAGTTTCGACTATACATGTTCGATGGGATTTAAATCAGGTGATTGCGGAGGAGTTACTAACATGTGAAGAGTATTATATAACAACCACTGACACACTATATGGCCTGTATGTCTCGGATCAGAGTCTTATTGAAAGTAAAATGTTCTCCCAATACCTAATTTGTCTGCACTTTCTCGTAAATTTTCTTTTAAAATATTTAAATATAAATGTTTATTCATTATTCAATATATTATTACTAATCTTCCAATTCCAGAAGCAACAATACATTCCCTCACCATCACACTTCCACCTCCATGTTTCATCGCCGGTTGCATATTTTTTGGATCCAATTCAGTATCAGCTCTGCATCATACTTTTTTATGACTATCCGACTTAAAAATAGTAAATTTTGACTTATCAGAAAATATCACATTCTTCCAGAAATCAACGCTAGCGTTCATATACTCTTCTGCAAATTTTAATCTCTATTTTTTATTTACTTTGCTGATGAGTGGTTTCCTTCTCGCAACTCTGCTGTTGTATCCTGCCTGATGTAACACTCTTTGTATTGTTTTAGAATGAACTTCCTTGTGTACATATTCTTGAATGTGTGGCACAATTTCCGATGCACTGGTATCTAATTTGTTTTTAATAATTCTGACGATTTTATGCTTCCGGGATCTGTCAGTCCTTTCTTTATTCTGCAATGTTCCCCCTTTTTTATATTTACTTATTATATTCTGTACAATTGTTCGACTTCTTTTTAGTGTTTCTAATATACTTCTATATAATGTCTATATGATTTCTATATGCCCTCTTCGTATAACTGTATAAGAATTTTTCGTTTTTCCAACGTAGTTTCATTGTGTTTTTTCTCCATATTACAAATATTCACTAATAACGTGTATTCGCTACGACTAGACCTAATAAAACTAACATGGTATCTCCTAAAGTAATGTTTACATTAATTGGAATGTTGTGATTTTATTGTAAGTGCTGCGTTTATCAACAGAAATGGTGGTGTACAAATACTTTTCTCCTGGCAATGTCTTATGGTAGTGTCAATTTTGAATACATTTCAAGGTACTAAGTGATGTTATTCCTTTCCTTTTTTTGCTCACTTGTTGCTATAAGTGTTATGTATAATACACAACTACATATGTTTGAATATAATTAACAACACAGAAAATATTGTTACTTTTATTTCTATACTCCAAGTGTACAAATACTTTAGTCCTCCACTGTATATATTTATCGTGCATAAACATCCGGAGTCTAGTAATTACCTTCTCGTGAATCACGCGTGCTCTAAAAAACAATACTGATAACTGTACTGCACACGTGGCAGGAACATACACAACACAAAAATAATAAATTCGTATTAGTACAGAAGTATAACATCAAAAACGCATGAATTAATACTAAGTAAGATAACATCAATTGAATAAAAGAAAAAAGAGTCACAAAAAGGATATTGAATAGGCACATATACAGAATTTAGAGAATATAGGGATTGTCAGAAAACGAGGTACACGTGGTGACACAGCTCCATAAATAATGAAATGTGGAATACGGAATAAATAATATAAGGAATACTTCTCCACACATGATAAATATTATCATCATATAATATATGATATATATAAAATATATAAAAATAATATGTATGTATATATTTATTATATATACTAAATCATTTTTTCTTACCTATAAAATGTGACTTCTAATTGCAGAAAAAAATGGTAAACTGTTGAAAGTAAATTGTCCCTAGATATATATCGCGTAACAGTAAGTAATGTTGCGTAAACTATTCGCGGTTAGGGAGTTGTAGGGAAAATTTAGCGTGGGTAGAGTTAAAGAATAACAATTTAGATACGGTCTGTAATAAATTAGTTTTTAGAAGTTACGAGTGAAGCAGTTTCCCTTCTCTGGTTTCCAATCTTCTCCCAGCCCAATCGCCCGCGTTGAGTGTTTTACAATAATACGTTCTATTATACTCTCGTTCTTATATGCGCTTACATGCGCCTTATATACGCTAGCTTTTTGAACTATTTCAAATTTACTTTTTTCTAGTGCTAATTCTGCTGTTAGATTATTAAATATTTGATTTATTTTGTATATAGGTATACAATATCATTTATGTTAAATTTACATGGGTTAAGTGTTTGATTATAGTAATCTTTACTTCTTTGTTTTGCTTTCTTTAGGTTCTGTGCCACAATAGTCTGAGTGGTAGTGATTTTAGCAAAGGGCTAGTCAAGGTGCTGTGTAATGGTTTTGGGTGCCTGTCCCTTGGCAAATTCTGATGGTATGTTTTCTTTAACTCCAAAAACTAATTCATGTGGTGTAAAATCTGTGGCTTCATGTATTAAGTTGTTGTATGAAAAAATGCAAAATCTTATCTAGTCATCCCACTCTGTTTTTATCCAATAATGTTTGAGGTAGTTAATGAACCTACAATTTTCCCTTTCAAATGAACCTAGTAACTGGGGGTGAAACGCTGTGGAGGTTATCCTATAAATTTTAAAGATTTTACAAAAGTTCTTTATTACCTGACTAATAAAATTTCTCCCTTGGTTGGTATGAATGGCTTGTGGACATCCAAACCAACTAATAAAGTGTTCTGTCAGTGCATGAGCAACAGTTGTTGTATCTATGGTCCTTAGAGAAATTCCATCTGAATATTTAGTGAGATTGTCTTACAATGTGAGCAGGTACTGATTTTCTTTATTGGTCATGGGTACGGGTCTAACTACACGTATGTCCATTTGTATTTTTTCAAAAGCTTGTTGAGGCATATCTATAATATACATTGGTTGTTTGGTCTTAGGAAAGTAATTTTTGTTCTTTTCACAGATTGGGCAGGAGTGAACGAATTTTGAAATCTCCCTTCCCATACCTGGCCAGTGGAAATACTCACGGATAAGCTGGTGTAATTGAAAAGTACCTTTGTGGTCTCCAAGTACCAATTCATGGTATTCCTGGATGATTTGGGGATGACTTGATTCCAATGGGACTACAATTTCTCCCATACATAAGGTGATGATATATTCTGAATCATTAAAAATCTGTTAGAGCAAGTCTGTTATGTCATTTCATTCTGTGGTGCTGAACCTATCTGGATCCATCAAGACACTTAACATTTTCGAGTCTAAAGTGCTGAGGAGGGTTTTGAGTGATTTTAATGAAAATTCGATGTACCCACGATTAAACTCGCTCTGCGGTTTGTTTTTATAAAATAAATAGAAAACGGGGTGTCTATTCTGCGGAAAAACCATGGCGTTGCCAACTTCGATCTGATATTGTTACATTTGTTCTATTGTGAGTCCAATTTGGCTTGATAAGCTTACATTGGTTTGAGAGGTATCGTTACAATTTAGAGGAATAAAATGAACGAGGTTGCCTTGTCGCATGAAAAGGTTGTCTTTTATGTAAAGTATAGTGAGTAGGAAGGAAGAGTGTACCGCCGGTCTATTTACTACGTTATCTAAATTATTTGATATCAACCTAAAATAGAGTCTTGACAAACCAGATAGGAAGGGAACTACTCAGTAACACTTCCCAACGTGATACTAAATTTTACCACAACTATAAATACCCATAAGTGGAAGAGAGTCCTCACTCTGCCGGAATTCATACCTACTGTTTCAAGATCATTCCCGGACAGAATAGCAGCCAACGAAAGATGCCAGTGAACATCAATCTCGTCTTCTCAAACATCAGGGGAATGGCCCACAGTTGTAATCGGAGGTAGAAACATACACGAAAAATAATTAGAAACACATCCCGAAATGAAACCTTAGAACAACCACACAGGCAAAGACGAATACAAAATGGAACAGCCAAACATTAAATTCAGAGGACAGGCGATTATAATTTTAACCACAACGCAGTATACATACATCGACGCATTAAAAATATTAGGAACCAAGGGGAAAACAAACTGAAGGAAGTGAAAAATGTTGACGTAACCAAGTGTCGTGATGTCAGAAGGACACTGCGAAATAGGAACGATATTCGAAAACCAGTACTAAAGGTGTTACTCGAAGCTAAGATTATCGATCGTTCTATCACATTGAATGAATTCTAAATCGAAATAAAGAAATTGATAAAGGATAACCATAATCATGAAAAATCCAAAACTAAAAATTGGATTGATCTTTAGTATGCTTAAGGAAATCCAGAAGATTATTAAATGTTTTAGTTGTCCTGTTATCGCGCACCAATCCGTTTCTTGCCAAGTCAACAAGGAAGGCAGGAAAATACGCAAAAAGTGTGGGAACAAGGCCACAATATAAAGACATGCACTGCACAATATAGATGTGTGTAGTGCGAAAAGGAGTTAATAAATAAGTAGAAAACATTTACGTTGATTCAAATCAACCTGAATTATTACCACCTTACACACAATTTCCTACAGTATACAAGGTCGATGTTCCAACGAGTAAGCAGCATCCCACCTGCTCCGGTACTATACGGTTGATAGTAGAACTTTGGAATGTGAGCTCGGCGCTAACAACAATCTCCAAAAGACAACGCTGGTAGGACGTAGGTCCCGGCTGATTGAGCCTCATCTCAATTCTTTGTTGGGCCTTCACGGCAGGCACAAGTAAGTAAAACTAACTCCGGACCTCCTGGAGAATCTCCTTCGGGCGAGACGTCAAGACGTCCACCTTCGGGGCGCCTTCAGAACCCGAAACTTCATACATGAAGCTCGCAGAGACCGTACTTTTACAATGGAGCTCGGTTATCCCGAGCTTTGGTAGCGCCATCTTTTTCTTCACCGCGACCATTACCTCGGTTTAAGTGGCCTTGATCTCCTCCGGGATAGTGAAAATCACCGCCGCTGCCGTTAGCTTTCAGGCCAACTTAGGCCTTTGGAGGACGATTTTAGCTGTCCTCGTCTTGACAAATATGGCCTGAAGATTCCCTTTGGCGGAAGCCATCTGCGGCCTGTGAGCCGCCGCCTGTCTGGCCCCCTTAGCAGGCTATAGAATTAGAGGCTGTCATTGGTTGTCTTTGGCACTCACTCCGCACAATGTGGGGAGTAGGGGTTTCGAAAGGCGGGGTTACAGGAGAAAGAGTTGCCGAGGCATCGATCTGTTCGGACCCCGACCTCTTCTTTTTTTTCTTTTTCTTCTTTATCACCACTCCTTCCGTGAAAGGGACGCAGGAAGATAGGACGGCATATGTTGCTCCATCCGCCGTCTCGTCACCCGTAGGAATAAGTGGAGACGGCTGCGACAGAAGGCTACCATCCTAGCCAAGGCCGGCCAAAACTCTTAATGCGATTCATCTACGTCCGAAGATCGAGGTTCTCTTTACGGAATGTCTCGAGCCCTAGTTTTAGGCGGCGGAACTCCCCCCCCCTCCCACAATGCTGGTAAGGACGATCCTGTAAATTGCCTTCACGAGAATCCCCTCCAGTCGTCATCAGCTCAGACACAGCCCCCGCACACAAGTGTCCTTGAGGCATTTAGATATATTGGAGACATCTATTCAATATATCTTGTAAGCATCTATGACACTCCGCTGCAGGGTTGGATCATGCCCAGTTCTTGAACTTTTCCAACTCCTCCTTGCTGAGTAGAGAGTTCAATCCCGTTCTCTTGATGGTCAAATTCCGCCCATTGTCGGAGCCGGCGTCTTCCACCCGAATATTGGCACTAGCGACGGCGTCCATGTTGCGGGGCTTCAGACACTTGCTTACAGTTATGCCCATAAGATCCTCCATTGATGTAGGATTACTCAACTTAAGAGCGACTAATCGCTCAGAGAATGAGTAGCCGCATTCTGACATCCGGTGGAGCTGGCCGAATTATTGGTCGCAACGGGCCTGCCAACCGTATCCTCATTTTACCATATTGCCGTCTAGTCATTCAACTCATTTTATTTAGCCATGGACTCCATTTTAATATATTCTATTTATGTATTTATTTATTTATTAATTATTTATTTATTTCATTTAGTTATCTTATTTACTTAACTATTTATATTATTTATTTGTCTAGCTATTTTATCTTCTCCCAACTATTTCATTTTATCGATATATTCTATATTAACTACTGCCTCTATTCTATCTATTAACTACCATTTTACTACTAACTAGATTTTTAACTAAGATGGAAAATAATAGGACACTGGTTTTATTCATTAACTTCTTTACGCTTTTATTTTTTATCTTTTAGTTCTCTATTTTATTCTGTCTTATTTTAATACACTAGACTAACCGCTTTTCTTATTAATTTTAACTCTCTAATGTACTTACATTATATATATAACACATTATTCTAACCCCTGT